GTTGTCAAGGTAACAACTTTGTTAGATATAAAATACAACTATTTGTTCTCTTCTTCAATGGGAAAGCCAACAGGCTTGCTCAGAACATTTTCAAATGGATTTTTAGAGCATCTGGCCTGTAGCATGCAAGACTGGCCTGTGTTACATACCATGGGCATATGGAGTCACCCTGCAGTAGAATGCAGCAGTGGCCAGCAACATTGCCAGTCACCCCTGCCACTGTCCTTGCCTGAGTGTCTGTACCCTGCATGAGAAGCTCCAAAGATGGGAAGGGGATTGACATCCTTGGTGACTGCATGTGCAACCTCTGGATGCTGCTGCCGGCTCCTGAGGACACATGTGTGGTAGCCAGGCAGATCCATTGGTCCAACCTGGGATGCCATGATCTTCCCAGAGAGAGGTCTCCCGAGAGACAGCTTTCTAGGGGTCTCAGGCCATCCTCTGGCCACTGGGTAACCTCAGCAAGGTGCAGCCTGTGGCTGCAAGTGATGATCTCAGTGAGTTCCAGCTCAGTGATTTCAGCTCTGCTTGTGAGGTTATCCCAGGCCGACACAGAGAGGAGTGTTGTATGGTGATTTTAGCCTTTCTTGTCCAGCAGCTCTGCAAAGGGTGGCCAGGAACTATGGCTCCCCTCTGAACTGGCCAGAGGATGGGGTCTTTATGGGGGAAAGCAAGGGTGGTACCAAGGGGGAAAAACCAATGGCTTACAAAGAACTAACACAGGCATCAAGGCATGGTGGGATAGCTGGAGCCCTCACCATGACAAGGAGAATTGTCCTATCTAAGAGGTATCTCTGCAGGAGAGGGTTGAGATAAGCTTACCACAGCCCATTCAAGGGACGTCCCTCCAGGGGAAAGCTGTGGCAAGACTCTCTGCCTCCACACACATACAGCACCAGCATCCTCTGCCTCAGGCCTCGGGAGCCCACAGGTCACTGCTGGGCAGGGGTCTCCATGTCTCTGCCAGGGAACCCTTCTTAACACGGAAATCAGCAGATCTTCATCACATAGAATGTGTCTATAATGTAGCTATTTGTTCACTGGGCTGAGGCTGCCAACTTTGCATTACTTAATACAGCAGCTTTGGAGTTCTAGAAACCAGAGCTCAATTTGCATGAGCATCCCCCAGATCAAAGACTCCATTTTCCCATCGCCTTGTCTCTGTGCCTCACAGAAGGTGAATTTACATAATGCCTGTCTTATTAAACAGTATCTTGCGTTAACATATATAAAGAGAAAGCAAATATCTCAAGTTTAATTTCTAAACTACCAAATCAGTAGGTAATTACCCAGCTGATATACTTCAGCAGTCCACAAGCTGCACTTAAACTGTATGGGTGAAGATCTGAATCTAGGAGTGTTTCAGTATCCTCTAGTTCAGCTAGGTTCGTTCTCAGGTTCATTTCAGGGCTTAGCACCTGATGATATATTCTACTATAATTAATTCCTTAAGCCATCGCTATCATGAGGAAGAAACTAGGTCAGTTTAAAATTAAATTAAATCAATGTTACACAGAAGTGGCTTTGCAGAAGAGGAGAGGAACAACTTAACACTGCTTGGTTTGGTGTGCATTTTAGATCTCACAATGGACAAGCAACTCTGCCTTCCACAGCATCCAGCTTTTCCTTCACAGAATCACAGAATAAACCTTGTTGGAAAAGACAATTTTCTTCACTTCATACCTGTAATTCTTGCTGCTGGCTGTTTTAGGTTCTTGTTGGAGCACAACTGCAAAGCTAAAGATCATGTGGTAATGGTCAAGGCAGTCATGAATAGGTCATAGCTACTGCAGAGAATGAGTATCTGTGGTGAGAGGAGGTTGTTGAATGATCTCCAATAGAATAACTGGATTATTCTCATCCACTAAATAACAAAATGTCTGAAACAAACACACAAATGCACATAAATTCCTTTAATCACCATATTTTTCTGAAATAACATCGCTGTACTTTAATTTCAACTTTGATTTATTTCACTTGATTCCAGTTTAGTTGTTGTTTTCTTTAAGGTGAATTATATCTGCATTATTTTTTAAATAAGCTACTGCTATTTTAAATCAATTATTTTTAATCAGTGGTTTTATTTTTATAAATGGTGTCCAGATCCAGATCCATAGCTTTCCATAAAGCAAAGTAAGTCTTAAATAATTTAAGTATCTCTTTTCTGAAATGCATTCATTTCCTGGGAGAATTTTTGTCAATTTCATGCCTTCTTGGGAAGGAAATAAGCCAGAGAAAAGTATTTTATTATTCTATTCACAGTTTTATAAGAGCAGGAGAAAATGTGCAACAGTAATTGCCTCCATTCCACTGCAGGCACATACTAAGAAAAATTTGTAATTATGTGATTTGTCCTCTTCACATCCTTCCCAACTCAAATGAAGCTAAAAACAAAATGAAAAAGGGGACACATTTCTTATTCTGAGTTGCTGTGAAAGATGTTGTATTTGTAGTCAGTCTGAAGACTGCTTGTCTTCAGCTACCATTTTTCACAAGAATTTTATGGCTTTAGTGTAGACTAGGCACCCACTCTGACATGGCAGGAGTTTGTCCTTTCCCTGGCTGGAGGACAGTTTAGTCCAACTCTTAAGTAGTTTTGCCCCAAAGGCAGGGGACAAAAAGGGCACAACCCAGGTCTGAAAAAGGCTGGTACTGCCTGTAGGGAGCGGACTGGGCGTGGTGTTGCCGCTCTTCCTGAAGGAAATGAGCTGGGATGCAAAGAGGATGTAACACAGTGGCAGTGACACCATAGTCTCCATGGCACATGTTCTTTTGATAAGGCCCCACCATTACTGTAGATTAAATTGGGATCTCTCTTATGCTATCATCCCTACAGACTTTCTGAGGTGTGTTAGTCAGAGAAACTTGGTGATGTACACCTTTAATTCACCTGATCCTATCAAGTTCCTTATTAGAGGAGAATGAGTTGCAGTGGGTGTGATCATGCTGAGGTGCAAATTAGCTTTCCAACAAATGGTGCTACTAAGTATTTCTTTACTCTGTAACAGGTGAAGGGGACAGCAAGATACAGATGTGACAAACAGAACTAGGCCCAGATGTAAACAACTGGTCGTGGATTGCCATGAAGCTTGTCGTGAGGTGTCTGAAGCAGGATCACGTTCTTGGGTTGTACATCTCCAGCACTCTGGGGAATGGCTGGATGGTGACCAGCCCCTTCCAGCCCTGCACAGGGGATGCAGTCATATCCAGTCACTGACTTCACCAGACACAGAACCGCACCCCAGATTGGAAGATGTTCTTTCCTTGGGTCACTGCAATGACTTTGTGCCTTGGTGTTCTCCTACTGAAAGCACCTAAAAAGGTGTGAGGAGTGATGCCTGTGTCTGTGCTTGAGACTGAGGACACACTGTCCCCTGACACAGAACCTGGCCTCAGAGAAGCTGTGTCTATCCCAGCAGTGGGGGGCTGTGGCTGCACAGCTGCACTGCTATTACAGGGTGTAAGGCTGTACAAGTGCCATCTGAACACTTCCTAATGATCACTTTAAAGCAGGACAGAAATAAGTTGGGTTCCTGGGAAATTACAGAATCACAGAATCATCAAGGTTGTAAGAGACCTTCAGGATCATCCAGTCCAACCATCAACCCCAAATCACCTCTACACCATACTCTAAGTGACACATCCAGATGCCTCTTGAGCACTTCCAGAAATGATGACTCCACCACTTCCTGGGCAACTTTCTCCAATGCTTAACCACTCTCTCAGTACCCAATCTGAACCTCCCCTGGCTCAGCTTAAGGCCATTCCTTATCAACTGGGACATAGCAGAAGAGATTGACCTTCACCTCACTATAATCTCCTTGCAGCTAAATAACCTCTGCTTGTCCAGACTAAACAACTCCTGTTCCCTCAGCCGCTTCAGGACAGATCCAAAAATTCAATGAGAGGCAGTGGTTTTCCAGGTCACAACCACTGAATTTTCTGGAGTAAGGAATCTAAATAGGAATTTGCTCCTCTCCTCTGTTAAGCAGCTCCCATGGAAAGGTTCTCTGGGCCTACGCTAATCAGGGACGGTTAAACCAGGTGTCATCCAGACCAACTACAGGGTAAATCCAAGGAAAAAACAGGCAACTTTGGCATCCTGCAGGGTCTGTATAGCACAAAACATGAGTACAATCCAGAGCATTTATCCATGCTCACATTGCACACCTCAGTTTTTTATACCAATAGATGTCTTTTGTCTTGTGCAATGCAATGCACATGAGGGTCTGAAACCCACATTGGGTTTAAAGCCCTCTTCAGTAACAGTAAAATATAAATCAGTTTATAACTTTATACTCCAAGTGATCTAAAGCCTAATTATTCTGAGGTATTGGCTAACTGAAATTCAAGTAGGGTCTCACTGATGCCAGTGGAGTTATGCCACCACTCAATGAACATAAGCAGAAAGATGAGCAGGCCCATGGTATTTCACAGCAGAGAGAGGCTTGTGTACCATCCCACTTGCCATATTATTCAGCATACTACATCTGACCTCTATTGTCTGTTAACACATATGACTACTTATTTCTTGATAATTTTGGAAATCAAAGCTCAATTAAAAGCTAGGGTTTAGACTATTTTTAGGTATTCTTTTAGATTATTTATATACTATTTAGGTATTATTTTAGACTATTTCTAGGTATTCTATCACAAAAGATAGAACAGCAAACACATTTCTAACATAAACTAGCACATTCAAATCCCATCAGATCTTCTGATGCTCCTCACTGGGTGCATTCCAAATCCTTACTGTGCCCACAAAGACTGTGCAATAGGAAACAAATGGTAGTGGTTGAAATGTCTTCCTTTTCTAAGCAGATATACCTTTCAGCATGCGTTTCCTGACATCATTTTATATCACCTTTCTGTTTGGAATCTCCACCAAAAACTATCAAAAACCTTAATATACTGCTAAACGTAAACAAAAGGAAAATACTTTCCTGCTAGAAATGACATAAATAATCAAAATTGAAAGATGACAAAATCACTGTACTTACTATGTGTCGTGCTGCGAACACTCCATCAACGATTGCACAGCAGAAGGCTGCTACAACGCCAAAGCTGATAAACACGATGGAGGCCACCAACTGAGAAGAGAAAAACAGACTGAGCAATCTTTTCATTATAATTCTTTAAGTAAAGCAATTACACTAGTTTTTCTAGTATTCTGAAATGATGGTTCCCGCTGCTGTAATTCACTTTAGATCAGTGTGTCAGGATGACAGTCATAGATTCGTAAAAAGGCAGAAATTTTTGATGCTGAGTTGACAGACCATCAAGCCTACTAGAAAAGTTTAAATCTTTCAAGAGAAAGTTAGGTCAGCTGCAAGAGTTAAATTCAATGCTGATTTCTTCCCAATCAATTTACTTAATAAAACAGCAGTGCTTCTATAAGGACATGGCAAAAAGTCATGCTCCCGTTGGCTCACATAAATCTTTAGAGCTTTACTACGTGGTAGTATTTCACATCAATAGATAAAAACATCTGTAGTAAGTTAATAACTAGCCTGTGAACAATCAGAAATATTTTATCATCCCAAATAGCACAACTAAATCAGAGATTCAGAGGACTGCTACATGCAGAACAGCTGGGGTGTGCTGCCTTGGCCCTGCCCTTGTTGGGGTTTCCAGATAGCCCCTCAGTGTCAGAGTGGGCAGAGCAGAGCACAGCAGAGCCCAGTGAGTGTCCCAGCTGCAGCACAGACTGCACAATATCTTCATCAACCTACCAGCCATAGCTTCAGATCTCGTTCCATCTCCCAAACTGCTTCATTCATTAAGCACATTCATTGATTCTCTCTGAACAGGACTGCGGATGGTGCAGGGCTGGAGCACAACTCTGGCACAAGCAGAGGTGGTATGGAGGGCTTGGGGGAAAAGGCTGTGCAGGCTGGGCATGCTGAGCCCCTGCTCGCTGTGCTGCAGCTCTGACAGCAGCTACAGGGCTAGAACAGCCCCAGACACCTTCAGCTTCCTGCCCAACTCACTCTGGAGACAGCAACAGGACTTGGAAAGAATATGGAATGCCTCTCCACCAGTGTGCTGTTGGCACACACTTCTGAGATGATGCTGGCTCCTTCTGAGGTCACATCTGAAGGGTCCAGTGCTGTGAGCCACATGAGATGAAGCCCTGAAAGACCAACTATACACTTGGCAAGGTGTTCCCCTGGGTTTGTTACCCCCAGTGCCATCAGATGAGGGACAGATGCTGACAGTCCTTCCTCTCCCTGCTTAGAGGATTTTGTGATGTTGAGGACAGCACCCCGAGTTTGAAGGAGTGGGTTCCTGCAGGGTATAAGGTGAACCTAACCTGCATTCTCTGCAGGCTATGTTTTTCAATGTAATGTAATGCATACTTCTCATATCTCTGGCATTTCTCAGGCATAGTCACAAGAAGAACCCTTTGAAACACCCTTATGACAGGTTGATTGTACTTTACAAGTGTATTAAGTTATAATTAATAACAATAAGAGATTAAAAATTTTTCTTGAAAACTGTCAGAACAGCATTCTTTTATTGATAGAGCACATGGAAAAGGGATTCAGTTAAGAATGTAGAACTTTTTTGTTACTTACCAACATTTACTCATTAAATGCTCCTTCACAAGATGTATTCCTGAAATGTCCAGGTACAGATTACCAAAATTATAGCCACACAGCTCATAAATCCATTTGCCTATATAAAATCTGCATTACCTAGATGCCATTTTCACTAATTTGTAAGGCATGGCTGACTCACTTGAAAAATGGACTCTTTATCTTGTGTTAAGAACAGTACAATGTTAATAGTGCTTCCAGGGGATGCAGCATTGGTGATTTTCTCAAAAATATTGGGCAAGTAAGAAGCTACAACCATGTAAGCCCATAGCTTGGATGCACAAGTCAAAGCAATATCACCCACTTGGAGATAAGAGCTCTTGGAGAACTGGCAAAAAGTACAACTTAAAAGCAGAAGAATCACAATGCTGACACACTCCTTTAATCTCCCCTTAGCTCGTGTCTCATGCAATCAGAGGTGAGTCAGCACTGCCACAGGAATTGCTGTGGAATTGGAATCCTCAGCATGGGGAGAAAAGGGGCACACAAATGTGGCTAAGATTGATGGTGCTGGCTGATCTTGGGAAACTGCTGCATTCCCCCTGCAGCCAGCTCCATCTTGCTGAAACCCTAGGAAAACCCTGTTAGCTGCATCACCCTTCAACCTCTGCTGTCCTGGGGCTCTCCAGTGTGTGGAAGGTCAAGTCTCATAAATCTGGCTGTCTAAAGATCTTGGCATGCAATTTATCAGATTGAGAAGGCTGTGGACTCCTATCACTGCAGAGGAGTGGGCTGTGCTGCCCTGTGGCAGCTGCATTTGCTACTGATCCTGATCTCTTTATTTGAAAAAGCAGCAGTGTTTAAAAGTTCTGATTAAGCCATTATCGTCTGATACCTCTATCTTGTTTTTCAAGTCATAGCAGTCAATCAAATAATTAGTGGGCTAAGCCAGGTGTTTCCAAATTGCCTGAGCTCAAGATGAATTTACTGGAAGCTGACCTCAGGGTGGCTTTTCATTTCACACATGAACAATTTATTGATGATCTACAACCCCCAAACCAACATTTTCCACTCATTGAGATAGCTTAAATCACCTAATGAGTGTGCTGGCCTTTCAGTATCACCATATAGCCTTAGGAGACCACGTATAAAGGTGCAGTAAATCACAGTATAGAAAGGAGCTATGGAGTTGGCTTTGCACTCCTCAGTCATGCTGGTGATCTACCCTTCCAAGGAGTTGTGTGCAAGTCTAAGGTTTACAGCCAGAGCCTGTTGTTCTTACTCATGACTATGAGCAACTACTTCAGTGAGCAGTCCCTTTAGAACCAATATAATTTCTTGACTGAAGTAATATTTATCATGATACCAAAGTGGGAGAACATGTCACTGAGAGCTTTTTGACTTAAATTGCCTTATATATATTTGAATGATAAAAGAAGCAATAATACAAGAGCACCACTAAAAAAAATTCCTTTAAATAAAATTAGAGATTTATATCCTCTCTCAAATTTCTCATTGCTTATTAAGAATGTGAGAAACATAAAAAACCAAGTACAAAATTAATTATTTCTGAGAATTGGCAAGACAACCAAATGAAGAGCTGTTGTAAATTCAAAAGCTAATTTTCCTGAGTAGTAGGTGATTGCTGGAGCAGCGAGTTCACAAACCTAGGACTGTCTAGAAAGAGAAGCAATGCAGTTCAATTAAAGATAGAGAATGTTTGCTGACAGGTAAAAGAAATAGCACTTTAAAAAAAAAATACTAATCCATCACATCATCTTATCTCCATTTTCAACAGTTTTATGTTTTGTCAGGACAACTATTCATTATTTATAGCAATATATTTGAACAGTTATTCAAGAAACAGCTCTGCTCTTGGTGTTCCACTGGTGTGAAGCCAGGCTTCTCTACAGCTGGTGCCATCAGAACACTTTTACTCCTTGTTCTTCTATAGAACACAATAATTTGATTATTTACATAAAACCAGATAGTAAACACTGAAAACTGTACTGTGTACAAACTCAAAAGGTAGTTGTTTATCACAATAGCAGGTGGAATGAGGGACTTTTGTACACAGTATTAACTGAAGAGCTGTAATCTATTTTCAGCTGTGTCACAGAACTATGAAAACACTCAAAAATGCAAAACTAGCGAAAGGCTGGACTGCTAAATTCTTGCACACGGCCTTCTTTCAGAAAAGATACGCATTTTTTTTCTCAGAATTCACCTGTCTTGGACAACCTCCTGTCCTTCAGCAGGCATACAGCACCACTGCCTGCACTGTCACCCTCCTGCACAAGCGAGACTAGTGAAGGCAGCAGGGGACACACAGTGGCCAGGGATGCTGGGCACAGACTCCTGTTCAGCCGCCAGAAGTGCACCTGGCACAGGGAGCTGGCAGCTAAGTCTCCCACAACAATTCCCATTTTTGGAGTTTAGAGCTGTCCAGAGACCAGACCCAAGAGGCAGTGTGACGAGGCCACGCCAGCTGCAGCCACGCTGTCACGCACACACTGCACACAAATCTGCACCTCAGGTCCCCAGGCATGCTGTGTGCTGAATCACACGCTGATGGTGCCACGTCCCTGCTGCGTGACACGCAGAGACCTGCAGCCAACACCTGCCAGCAGACCCACAGAACACCACATTGCTCCTCAGCACAAGCACATGGTGCCTACAGGCTGGCACCTCTCTGGCTGTTTCCAGCATCCCTGTGCAGTATTCTGGGAGCTAGCTAGACTCTCAATCCTGGCACATCCTTGGCTTCCTCATGATTCTGATTTAGCCTTTAGCTATCCCCAACCAAAAAGCTCAACTTCTCAGGTAATGACAATCACTTCTAGCTATGTGAGATGCCTCATTCTCTTGATTTAGACCAAGTAGATCTGAGACTGAAAAATGTGTGGATTTTTTGTTTTCAAAATCACCTCGGTACTGGATGCAATTTACATTGCACTACATTACTAACAGACTCACTTTGCTCATGCTAAATGACTACTACTGCATACTTTGCTCATGCTTGTCTCCAAGCATTGTGCTGTTCATCAAGTATCTCAGGGATTCTTTTCCAGGCAGAGAAAGAATCAGAATTACCCCAACTGATGCAAACTGAGAACCACTGTCACTCAGTATTTTTTGCTCTAGAAAGTTGTCTTTGCAAAAGGATAAATGTTGTGTTGCGTTGTGTTGTGTTATGTTATGTTGTTATGAAAGTGTAAATGTTATGCCACGGGTTTGTAAAGTCCTTTTTTATTCCCACACGGGTTCAAGTATTTGGAAAAGAAATGCATGGGGCAGTTGTTGCGGGCTGCCCCTAATATTACATTCCCCAAATTACAGTTTAATTCTACGGGCCTTTTTACTGGTTTGATTTCCCCATGTCCCCAAGATCAGAAATATAGGCTTAAATAAATCTGCTGCACTTTTTTCAGTGGGGAGGATTATGTAAGAATAGAAGTTTATGAAAACTCTTATCACAAATCCAAAACAGAGAATGATTTTTCACCCTGGTGCAACCAGCGAGCTGGAACAACCAATCTCAGCCAGGAGGT